CTGGTGGGGGGTACTGCATGAGAAACGTAAGGAGGTAGAACCACATGTGGCACATGAATGAATGGCAGTGAGTCTTGGTGCCAAGGGCACCCCAGGGTGGACGTTGGGGAGTCGGGGGGATGTCCCTGAGGTCAGGCTGCAGAGGTCCTTGAAGGCCACACCTGGAAGCTGGGCTTCTCTGGGGGCCAGCGAGGAGCCAGAGGAATTTTCAAGATGGGATAACAGAATCAGACTTGTACTTTAGGAGGTGGTGGTACAGACAGGTTAGACCCAGCTAGGAAGCTACTGTAACAGTCCTGGCACTGAGCGGTGACCACATTCTCTCCCAGTTTGAAGGGTGTGCAGAGGGGATGGGTACCTGCCACTCCGGAAGAGAAAGGTCATGATCAGTGCGTGAGGGGCCCGGATTTTGGCTCCATAGCTGTAGAAACAAAAGAAAACAGTTACTACAGCACCACTGAATCACAGTTTCTTTCTGCCTCCCTGTGCCCCCTCCCCATCCCTAATCCTGACATCATTTGGGGAGGGAAAAAATAATGCTGGCTTTCAAGTTAGATCTGGGTTCAAAGTGGATAGTACAGGGACTTCCCTGGCAGTCCAGTGGTTAAGACTCCGCACTTCCAATGCAGGCAGTGCGGGTTCGATCCCTGGTGGGAGAACTAAGATCCCACATGCCACGCAGTGTGGCCAAAAAAAAAACAAAAAAAACAAAGTGGGTAGTACAAAAGAAATAAATATTTGGTGCCAAAGCCCTGCCCTGTTTTGCTGTATACACTTGGATAAATCATTTAACATCTCTGAGCCTCCCTTCTCCCATCAGTTAAAAGTATTCTCCATTTCAGAGTTGCTTCTGGCAGTTAAGGACATAGCGCATGTAAAAGTTCCTAATTCAACCAATATTAGTGTCTCTGCCTTTCTTTTTCTTCTTTATTGGACTTCCCCTCGCCCCACCAAGTTCTCCTGCTGTCTGGCCCCAATCTTACCAGGCTACAAGGTCTAAAAATCTTTGGCAGCCTCCTTGAGACAACTGTCATGAGTCCCATATTGTTTTCATATGAGTATCTGTGAGGCTTGCTTGAAACAGCAGAAGACTGGGAGCAAACATGTGTCCATCCACAGGGGGCTACTGGGTAAACAAATAATGGACCCAGCAGTCAGTGGAATGAATACCACACAGCTGTACAAGAACGAGGTGGCTCTATATGTGCTCTATGCTTGGTTAGAGCAAGGTGTGTAAACTTCTAAAAAGTTCTAACTTTTTATGCCTTTTGTGAATATGCTACCTAATTTTCAAAAAATAAGTCAAATAAAAAATGTGATCAAGTGACAGCAGTGTTACTGTAGTGGTGGCCACACTGAATGGCTTATTTTCACACTGCCTAGCTGTGGGCAGGGCCCTCATCCTGGCCCCAGCAAGCTCTCTGCCCCACCTCCTCCAAAGTAATGTCTGTTTCCCCTGAATAAAGAGACCCTCGGCCTCCTCCAGCTGGCCAGGGCTAAAAGGGTCTTTCCTTATACCACAGACACAAGCAGAACAATGCCCCCAACTCCCTACATCTGCTTGGCCCCCTACCCAAACTCCTCAAACTCAGGTGGGAGCCACTTACAACCACTCACAGGATCACTCTGCATCTTGAAAAATGGGATGCCCCAGATTAAAAAGGATTTAAAGGATATGCAGGTACAGTGTGATATCCTGGAAGATCCTGGTCTAGATAAACTTGCTATAGAGGACATTTGGGGGACAACTGGAACAATCTGTCTATCAACTGGATGGCAGTCAACATTATAGGATTATGATTAAATTATTAAATGTAATCATGATAATCTAGCCATATAGGAAAATGCTCTTATTTTCGGAGATGCACATTGATATATTTAGGAATGGAGCATCAAAATGAGTTACATTTCACACAGTTCATACGTCTCAGTTCTCAGTCATCCAAGTCGGCCTCCCTGAATGGATGGCCACTCTTGACAAACAGCACATTCTTTTCCACCTCCAGGCCTTTGTTCAAACCATTCCCTCTGCCTGAGATGCCCTTATCACCCCCAGCAAATTCCAACTCAGCCTTCAAAACGGCACCATCACCTCCTCTGTAAAGCATTCCTGATCACCTGGTATTGCCATGGTAATTTAATCATCAGTCTCCCCACTTTGACTCCAGGTCATTACAGATGGGCCTGGGCCCACTGATGTTATCTCAGGGCCCACCCCACCCTGGTCACACCAAAGCATGGCTGATATGATCTGGCCAGACCCAGGGGAGAACCACCTTCTCCCTGACTCTGGGTGCCCATAGAAGCCAAGAGCCTGGCATTGAGATCAGGTATCCTTGGGTTTGAATCCTGGCTCTGACCCTGACTAAGTGACTTGACCATGAGCAATGAATCTTCCTCTCTGAGCCACAGTCTTCTCATCCAGAAAATGGGGACAATGGCAATTCCTACCTTGCACATTCATTCATTCGGTAAATATTTGAGAGCCTACTATGTACCAGGTACTAGGAATATAGCAAGGAACAAAATAGATTAAACTTTCTGTCCCCATTGTTGCAGCAAAAATAGCAATTAGACTTTTCTTTTCTGATAGACAAGGAAAATAAAGTAACAATGAACAGCCTGGGGAAACAGCATAAACAGGCCTGAAAGAGTTAATCAATCCTAGTTTTATTTTAACTGCTACTAATCTGTAATGTCTGTAACTAGATTTGCCCTTCACAAAGCTAACCTCTAACATTCTCTGACACTATGTGAATTACATCCTGTACCTATCACTCCCTTACTCCGTGTGAATTACACCCTGCCCCTAACACTCTGATTCCATGTGAATTACATTATCCACCTGGTATTTACACTCCCTGCACTCCCTTGTAGCAAATCAACCCTTGTAATGTCTGCATTTCAGAAAGAAGGTCGCAGGCCAACAACCCAGAGGCCAACAGACCCAATTACCAAACAGACCCAATTACCAGGCTGCCTGAGGCCAGCTGTGACTGTTTGGAAATAATGCAAGAAGATAAATGCAAGACCTTAATTACTTTGAGCCTTATCACCTACCAGACCACCAGTCCCAGCTATATAACCTTGCCCTATTCCCCAGAGACGGGAGGCACAGTTCTTGAGGTGCTAGCCGGCTGTGTTTCCCCTTTGCCTGGCAAAGAATAAAGCTGCTTCTTTTCCTCCAAATCTCTGTCTCTGTTTGGCATTGGTGCACAGACAGCCAAGATTTTTGACATCACCACGAAGCTCACTTTCCAGTGAGAAAGACAGTAGAAAAACAGGATACATAAGTGAACTACTTAGTGTCAGATGGTGCTAAGTATTATGGAGAAAAATTCAGTAGGGAAAGAGG